AAGGCGGGAAGGGGTATATAGAGGAGGAAGGACTAATGATAAGGGAGATAAAATGGGGAGGGGAAAGGTGGAAGGTGGGAACGGTGTATATAGGGGAGGGGTTAGGGAGGGTTTTGAGTAGGATAAAAAGAGAGGTGGAGGAAAGAAAGGGGGAAAAAGGTTGGATAGTGGGGGGGGGATTTTAACGCGAGAACAGGGGAAGGAGGGGCGTTGGAGGAGGGAGAAGAAGGAAGGGGAAGAATTTCGAAAGACAAAATGACGAATGGGAAGGGAGTAGAGTTGGTGAAATGGGTAGAGGGAGAGGGATGGGGTATAATGAATGGAGCGAAAGAAGGGGATGAGGAGGGGAGGATGACATTTACGGGAGGGAGGGAAGAGACGGTGATTGACTACGTGATGGGGGATAGGGGAGCGTGGGAAAGGGTAGAAAGAGTAGAGGTGGGAGACGAAGTAGACTCGGATCACCAATCGGTGACAGCATGGCTGGGGAGAGAGGAAAAGGGGGGAGGGAGAGGGAAGAAGGAGGAGGAGGAATGGGTAGAAAGAGTGGACTGGTCGGAGGAGGCAAAAGAAGAATTTAGGAATAAGACAGAGGAGATAGAGATAGGAGAGGGGGGGGTAGATGAAAAACTAGAGAGGCTGATAGAGGGGATTAAGAGTGCAATTAAGATGAAGAGGCAAAGGAGGAAGGGGGAAGGTAGAAAAGGATGGTGGGACGGGGAATGTAGAAGGAAGAAGAGGGAGGTGAGGAGGACATTGAAGGAATGGAGGAAGGGGAATAGGGATAGGGAGGACTATGGGAGAGAGAGGAGGGAGTACAGGGAGTTGTGTGAAAGAAAAAAGAGGCAAAGGAACGAAGAATGGTTGAAGGAAGCGAGGAAGGCGAGGACGCAGGAGCAGGTATGGAGGGTAATCAATAGGGAGAGAAGGAGGACGGTGGAGGTGAATAAGGGGATAAAGATGGAAGAATGGGACAGTTATTTTAGGGGGTTGCTGGAGGGTGCGGAGGGAGAAGGGGAATTGGGGAAAGGAATGGTAGGAGGAAGGGAAGTAGGAGAGGAAGAAGGGGAGGGGGAGAGTTTGAGAGCGGAGGAAGTGGAAAGGGCAATTAGGAAGCTGAAAAAAGGGAAGGCAGCAGGGGAGGACGGATTACAGAATGAGGTGTGATTGTGGGGTGGGCAGGGAGTGAGAAGGGGGATAGGGGAGATATGTAGGAGAGTGTGGGACGGAGGAGGGTTTCCGGAGAGGTGGAAGGATGGGGTGATAGTGCCGATAGCGAAGAAGAGAGGGGCGGAAGAGGTGGGGGACCATAGGGGGGTGACGTTGATGCCGACAGCATATAAGATATATGCGACGATACTGGCGGAAAAGCTGAGAGGGGAGATGGAAGAGAAGGGGATGCTGCCGGAGGGGCAGGTAGGGTTTAGGAAGGGGAGAGGAGTGATAGATAATATTTATACACTAAATTATGTAGTAGAGAGAGAATTAGCAAGGGGGAAGAAGATCGTGGCGACGTTTGTGGACTTGAAGGCAGCATTTGACTCAGTGGATAGGGGGATATTGGGAAGGTGTATGAAAGAGAGGGGGGTTAGTACAAGATTAAGAAAGAGGGTGATAGAGATCTATGAGGAGACGAGGAGCACAGTGAGAGTAGGAGGGAGAATGGGGAAAAAGTTTTGGACGGTGAAGGGGGTCAGGCAGGGGTGTCCATTGAGCCCGTTGCTATTCAACCTAATGATATAGAGGAGGGGTTGGGGAAAGATGAAGTTGGGGGAGTGAGGTTGGGGAGAGGGAAATTAAAGGTACTAGGATATGCAGACGATTTAGTGATATTGGCGGAGGACGAGGAGGGAATGAGATGGTTGATGAGGAGGTTGGAGAAGTACTTGGATAGGAAAGGTTTAGTACTGAATGCGGAGAAAACAAAGGTGATGAGGTTTGGGGGGAGGAGGGGAAGAGGAAGGAAGGGGAAGTGGTGGTGGAAGGGAAAGGAGATAGAGGAAGTGAAGGAGGCTAAATACTTAGGATATAGGTTCAGGAGAGGAGGAGGGCAAGAGGCGCAGGTGGAGGAGAGGGTGAAGAAAGCGATGGGGGTAATGGGGCAAATATGGGGAATAGGGAAGAGGAGGTTTGGTGGTGATTGGGAAAGAAGAATGAAAATATTTGAATGGTTGGTAGGGAGTGTAATAGGGTTTGGGGCGGAGGTGTGGGGGTGGAAGAAATGGGACAAGATTGAGAGAATACAGGAGAGGTACATGAGGTGGGTATTAGGAGTGGATGGGAGGACACCGGGGTATATGTTGAGGGAGGAGGGGAAAAGGGAAAAGATGAAAACGAGACTAGGGAGGAGGGCGGTGGAGTATGAGGAGAAACTAGAGAGAGGAGGAGGGGGGGAGTGGACAAGGAGGTGTTGGGAAGAGATAAAGGGAAGGGGGGAGGAGGGGATGTCAAAATGGGAAAGGCAAAGAAGGGATTTTTATAGGGAGAGGGGTGTATCAACGGAGTGGGTGAGGAGGAAGAGGGAGGAAGGAAGGGGAATACGAGAGGAGATAGAGAGGAGGGATATAGAGATTCAACAGCAGGGGAGATTCGAGAGGGTGGAGAAGTCTATATGGAATAGATGGTATAAGGAGGTGAGAGTGGTAGGGATACCGGAATATTTGAAAGAAAAGGGGAGGGAGGGAAGGATGATAATGATAGCGAGGTTTAGATTGGGGAGTGAAATGAGGGAAGGGAGATATTAGGAAGGGGAGGAGGGGAGGAGGTGTAGGATATGCGGTTGGGAAGAAGAATCGTGGGAACATGTGGTGGAGGTATGCATGAGAGAGGAGGGAGAGGGGGGGAGAGAGAAGATACTGGAGATTCTGGAAGAGGATGGAAGGGGGGAAGGATGGATGAGGAGACTGCAGAAGCTGAGGGAGGTTGGAGAGGGGGGAGAGACGAGAGACAAACGGACAGTGGACGGAGCGAGTGGGAGAGAGAGAGAGAGTGAGAGAGAGAGAGAATGGTCTGGCGGAAAGAGGGAGAGAGAGGAGAGAGAGTAGGGTAGCGATGGCGTGCGGAGGTGGCGTGCGGAGGTGGCGTGCGGCGGCGGCGTGCGGCGGCGGCGTGCGGTAGTAGGGAGCGAGAGTAGAGAGAGAGAAGGAATATGTAAAAGAGAGATTTGTAAGAGGAACGGTGGTCCTCTTGTACCCCGTAAAGGGCAAGAATAAAATCTATCTATCTATCTATCTATCTATTTTATTTCCCTTGCAATGAAGCTCGTATAAATTAAACATTTTCCTAAAAGTTAGATCAGGATGTAGATATCTTCTATTAGGATTATGAGATCTGGTATAATGGGATTCAAATTTAGGAAAACTTTTAATATGGTTTTGGACGTGCTTTTTCTCTTCCTCAGAAATTTTTCTTGATGATCCAACCATACGCCCACGTAAATCATTTCCCACATTTGCAGAGTTTAATACATTTTAAGCGTCCTTCTTACTTTAAAGGTATCCAAAAAGAATTTTTTACAGACGGGAACTTTTCCGTTTTTAGAATTTAACAAATACCTAAAACTCCAATTTCTTGACGAACCTTTTCCGTTTTTTTGACGCTTCGTTTCACAATTTTGCGCTCGACAGTTTCGTAAAGCAATACATTTTGTTTATTAAAATCTCCCAAATACCAAAACTTCTCAAAAATATTCTTTCTTTCTTCTTCTACGTAATTTTTTATGCAAGCTTTTCGACAACGGCAATCTTTGTTTTGGAAAACTTTTGAAGGGACAATATTTCCGATTTGAGTACAATATCTTTTTCCTGAATTCCGTTTAATCTTTCGCACTTTTTGGATGTATGTTTCATCAATCTTTTCTCCATTGTTATTTGTATCTTCATCCCCTGAAGACGAATATTGTTCTATAATTCTCTTTCTTTTTCGATTTTCTTTGAAATCATTAGTTACTAATTCTTCTTCACTATCTGAACTAAATGGTCTTGTCGTTTTGTTCTTCCCCATGGGTGAAATAATTTCTAAAATTTAATATTAAATTTTAAGTTTTATATTTAATTTGTTTAACTGCATTAATTAAACGTACTGATTATTCAACTAATGCAATTGTCCAAAAACTGAGATTAACTTGTTAAATACTAATTAATTAAAATTACCTTCATCACTGCCTTCGGACATTATCAATAATTAATATCTTAATTTATGTGGACTTTTTTACATTAATATTTATTTATTATTTATTTACATTATTATTTATTTCAATGATTTTTGGTTGCCAAGTTATTCTTGGCGAGGTCTTAGTTATCCTAATCTTCGCTAGTTTTTCTCCTCGACTATTTCTTGCTTCGGTTTGAGTTCCCCTAGATTTTCTGTTGGAGGAACGAGGAGTCCTTGGTGGAGATGCTCTAGGAGTCACCGGGATGGGAGAAAATCTTCGAGAGAATCTTCTTTCGACCAGGTCTATTGGTATAAGTTTCCAGGGAAGAAACTGGATAACTTTCCGAGGGTCAGTGGCCATAGAGGAAGATCTCCGAAGATCTGGATGGTCTAGTAGATCTGGAAGATCTTGGAGATCTTGAAGATCTAGTAGGTCTCGGAGGTATTGATGGTCTGGAAGATTAGGCAGGATCTGGACGTCTCGGGGATCTAGAAGGTCTAGAGGATCTTGAAGACTCGAGAGTCTGAAGGATCTGGGAGACTCGAGGTTCTTGAAGGTCTAGAGGATCTTGAGGACTCGAGGATCTCGAAGATCTGGAGGATCTGGAGGACTCGAGGTTCTCGAAGATCTGGAGGATCTCGATGACTCGAGGTTCTCGAAGATCTGGAGGATCTGGAGGACTCGAGGTTCTCGAAGATCTGGAGGATCTGGATGACTCGAGGTTCTTGAAGATCTGGAGAATCTGGAGGACTCGAGGTTCTCGAAGATCTGGATGACTCGAGGTTCTGGAAGATCTGGAGATCTCGTGGATCTCGTAGATGGAAGGTTTCGGAGAATCTCGAAGGTCTCGGAGGAGAGAATAATCACAAGGGTCAAAAGAGAATTCGCTGAATAGCTATAAGCTATTTGTTGCGAGGTTACAAGTGATTGATAAGTCGTTGACCGCATCTTCTTATATACACTTTTCAATGTTTTCCGATAGCGAGAAAATTATCTTAATCTGCCGCGCCTTTCAGCGGCATTAATTAAAACTGATGTTGCGCCAACTTCATGATTCTAGTCAGCGCTTCCCGAGAACGTGCTCGATGTGGCGAGCGTCAGGTCAGCGCTTCCTGAGATCGCGCTCGATGTGGCGAGCGTCAGGGACGCCACACGACCCCCTCCGCTGTATATTAGTTAGGGATTTGAAAACGGACCGGTGGTTTGGAAGTCCGACCGCTGCGCGTCCGAAGTTTTTCTGGTTGCGGTTTATCCGTTATTTTCTGTTGATTTGTTAAGATATCATCTTCTTCAAGGATGTAAGCTGGTTTAACTCTATCTATGGACACATTGATATTCTTGCCATTCTTGTTGATAGTGATAACTTTTTCGTTTCTTTTTAGTACTCTATAAGGCCCTTCATACGGAGATCGAAGGCCTCCCCCAAGTGTCTCGTTACGCACAAAAACATGTGTTGTTGTTCTCATATCTTTGAAAATGAAGGTAGTTGTTCCTCCGTGTCTTTTGATCTCTTGAGGTTTTAATTTTTGTATGTTTTTCCTAAGTTCTTCCAAAACTTCCCCTTGGTTTTCTTCAAGAACTTCAGGAATATTTTTTTGTAAGAATTGGCCTGGCAATTTGATTGGCTCTCCATAAACCATTTCTGCTGTTGTTGCTTGCAGATCCTCTTTCCATGCTGCTCTAATTCCCATTAATATTACAGGCAAAATTTCAACCCAATTTTCTGTTTGATGACATTTAAAAGCTGTTTTTAGTTGTCTATGGAAACGTTCTACTAAACCGTTTGCTGCTGGGTGGTATGCTGTGGTCCTAAGATGCGTGGAGCCGGTTATTTGCATCAAACGTTTGAATAATTCTGCTTCAAACTGTCGGCCTTGGTCAGTAGTTATGCGTAACGGTATGCCAAATCTTGCCATCCAGTTTGAAAAAATGACTGTTGCTATAGTGTTTGCTGAAATGTCTGGAAGTGGTATCGCTTCAGGCCATCTTGTAAATCTGTCTATTATTGTAAGGCAGTATCGATGTCCTTTGGAGGATGGCATAGGTCCAATGATATCGACGTGCATGTGTTCGAAACGTCTTGAAGGAACTTGGAAATTTCCGATTGGTGCTTTATTATGCCTGGTAATTTTTGCTTTTTGGCATTGAAGACAGGCTTGCGCTCATTTGCGGCAATCGCGTTGAACTCCTGGCCAAACGAAACGTTGCATTATTAGTTTTGCAGTTGCTTTGATCCCAGGGTGTGAAAGACCATGCAACGATTGGAAAACTTTTCTTCGGAATGGTCTAGTTATAAATGGACGTGAGAATTTTGATTCTTCATCACAAAATAGCGTGATCTCTGTTCCTGGAATTGATACTTTTTTTAATTTTAGAGTTCCACTCCCATGCAGAAGTTCCAGGAGCTCTACATCGTCCTCTTGTGATTTAGCTAGCTCTTCGAAGTTTATCGCGTTATGAATGCTTTCCACTCTTGATAGGGTATCTGCTGTTATGTTTTCTTTCCCGGAAATGTGTTCAATATTCGTGGAAAATTGCCCAATAAATTCCAAATGGCGTGCTTGACGTGGAGAACTACGGAGCGGATCTTTGTTAAAAGCGTAAATGAGAGGTGGTCAGTATAAATTGTTTGTGGTCAGTATAAATTATAAAATTTCGTCCTTCTAGGAGATGCCGGTATTGTCTAACTGCTAAATAAATCGCTAACAGCTCCCTGTCGTAAGGACTGTATTTTCGTTGTGCTGGACTAAATTTTTTACTCATGAAAGCCAGAGGTTGCCAATCTTTTCCGATTCTTTGTTGTATTACTGCTCCCATAGCGTTATCGGAGGCATCAGTAGTTAGAGCTAACTCAGCCTGAGGGTCCGGATGAGCTAGGAGTGTAGCTCGGGATAAACTCTTTTTTGTTTTTTCGAAAGCTTGTTCTAAATCTTGAGTCCACATAATGGGTGCTTTCTTTTTTTTAAAAGTGCCAGATAGTGTTTTATTTAACTTGGCTTGGTCCTCAGCTGCCCCAGGAATGAATCTTCTGTAAAAGTTTGACATTCCTAGGAATTGACGCATTTCTTTAACTGTCTTGGGTTTTGGGAAATTTTCAATTGCCTTCACTTTTTCAGGAAAAGGTTTGGTTCCTTCTGCTGTAACCAAATATCCTAAGAACTTTACTTGGTTTTCCCCGAAAATGCATTTTGTTTGATTTATAATTAGGCCGTATTTGTCTAAACGCTGGAATACTTCCCGTAGATGTGTTTCATGTTCTTCTTCTGATTTAGATTCCACGAGGATGTCGTCAATATATGTATAGCAAAAATCTAGTCCATGCAAGACTTCGTTAATGAAACGCTGGAATATTTGAGCTGCGTTGCGTAATCCAAAAGGCATATATTTGTATTCAAAAAGGCCGAAAGGAGTTGCATTGCCGTTTTGGGAATATCTTCTTCATGTACAGGTATTTGATTGTATGCTCTAACCAAGTCTAAGGTTGAAAATACTCTTTTGCCTTCTAACGTCTGCGTGAAATCTTCTATGTGAGGTATTGGGTATCTGTCTGGTACGGTTCTTGCGTTTAATTTTCTATAATCTCCGCAAGGTCGCCAAGAATTTTTTTTTTTGGGTGCCATATGGAGAGGAGAGGCCCAGGGGCTTTTTGAAGGTTGAATTATCCCTTCGTTCAGTAAAAGATCGAACTCAGCTTTGGCTGCTTTTAATTTGTCGGGAGCTAAACGGCGGGGGCGGCATCCTTCTGGTGGACCTGCCGTGGTTTTGATGTAGTGGACTGTTGAGTGTCGAGTTTCTTTTCTGACTCCGCCTAATTTAGTTATGTCGGGAAATTCCGCGAGAAGGTTACGGTATTTTATCCGTTTTGGTAAAATTTTGATGGAGCTGATGTTCCCCTTCTCGCCAACGGGTTTAAGTTTTTGTGTAAACAGTCCTGTTTTCCCGTCGATTAGTCGTCCTTTTTGTAAGTCTGGAAGCAGGTGGTAAAAAGATAGAAAATCAGCGCCGATGAGTGGTTGTGTGACATAAGCTATGATAAACCGCCAAAGGAATGTTCTCCTTAGTCCAAAATTTGGTTCCAGCGTTATTTGTCCAAAGGTGCGTATAATCGTTACATTAGCTGCGTAAAGTTGATATGCGCTTGACCAAAGCGGACCTTGGACTAATTTGCGAGGATAGACGCTGACATCTGATCCCGTGTCTATTAGGTATGGGACTTTGGTTTTGATATCTGTGATTATGAGGCGGCAAATATGAGGATTCGAGTCATTTGCCGCCATTAATGACTCTCCTCTTCGTTTTCCTTTTTGAATTTGCAAGGTTGCTGGCATTTATTAGCCTTGTTTCCGAAACGTCAGTAATAAGGTTTCCTCGTCTTCTTGACTTGTTTGATTCTGTGATTTACTCTGCGATCGTCTTCTTGGCGACCAATTTCTGGATCGGCTTCTAGAGCGATTAAATTGTCTTCTACTTAACTTTGCGACTTGCTCAGTTAATTTTTTTATTTGTTCCTCTAGCGTCTGTTTTTCGGTAGTACTGTTTGTAGTAGCTGCTATTGATCGGTTTGTTACTTTGGCAATTCGGTCGGCTTGTTCAGCAACTTCCTCTAGTCTGTCTTCTGACCTTGTTGTTAATATGATTTGCATTTGTGAGGGCAGTCGTCCAATCTATAAAGTGCGGAGAAGATGTTCCGGTATATTCGATCCGGCAAGTGTTCGCAAATGTCGTAGGAATTGAGATGGTTTTCTATCACCTAACTCTTCATGCTCAAGTAATTGGCGAGTTCGTTGTTCTTGAGTGATTGTCAAACGTTGTATAAGTGCTTTTTTAATTGTTTCATATTTTCCGGCTTCCGGGGGTTGCGTAATAATGTCTCTTACTTCCCGAGCGTACTTAGTTTCAATGTGTGCTATAACATATAAATATTTTGTTGCGTCTTGTGTTATTCCTCCTAGTGTAAATTGGCCTTCTAGTTGAGCAAACCAGAGTTCAGGTTCTTCAGGCCAGAAAGGAGGTGCCTTGATTGCGAGGCGGCCAATTTGTTGGTTATCTCCGTCCATGTCGGGGTCACCAGTTTTGTGGACTTTTTTTACATTAATATTTATTTATTATTTATTTACATTATTATTTATTTCAATGATTTTTGGTTGCCAAGTTATTCTTGGCGAGGTCTTAGTTATCCTAATCTTCGCTAGTTTTTCTCCTCGACTATTTCTTGCTTCGGTTTGAGTTCCCCTAGATTTTCTGTTGAAGGAACGAGGAGTCCTTGGTGGAGATGCTCTAGGAGTCACCGGGATGGGAGAAAATCTTCGAGAGAATCTTCTTTCGACCAAGTCTATTGGTATAAGTTTCCAGGGAAGAAACTGGATAACTTTCCGAGGGTCAGTGGCCATAGAGGAAGATCTCCGAAGATCTGGATGGTCTAGTAGATCTGGAAGATCTTGGAGATCTTGAAGATCTAGTAGGTCTCGGAGGTATTGATGGTCTGGAAGATTAGGCAGGATCTGGACATCTCGAGGATCTAGAAGGTCTAGAGAATCTTGAAGACTCGAGAGTCTGAAGGATCTGGGAGACTCGAGGTTCTTGAAGGTCTAGAGGATCTTGAGGACTCGAGGATCTCGAAGATCTGGAGGATCTGGAGGACTCGAGGTTCTCGAAGATCTGGAGGATCTGGATGACTCGAGGTTCTCGAAGATCTGGAGGATCTGGAGGACTCGAGGTTCTCGAAGATCTGGAGGATCTGGAGGACTTGAGGTTCTCGAAGATCTGGATGACTCGAGGTTCTGGAAGATCTGGAGATCTCGTGGATCTCGTAGATCTGGAAGGTCTCGGAGAATCTCGAAGGTCTCGGAGGAGAGAATAATCACAAGGGTCAAAAGAGAATTCGCTGAATAGCTATAAGCTATTTGTTGCGAGGTTACAAGTGATTGATAAGTCGTTGACCGCATCTTCTTATATACACTTTTCAATGTTTTCCGATAGCGAGAAAATTATCTTAATCTGCCGCGCCTTTCAGCGGCATTAATTAAAACTGATGTTGCGCCAACTTCATGATTCTAGTCAGCGCTTCCCGAGAACGTGCTCGATGTGGCGAGCGTCAGGTCGGCGCTTCCTGAGATCGCGCTCGATGTGGCGAGCGTCAGGGACGCCACAATTTAAGTATAACTGGACTTAGGCCACTTTCAAAGTAAACGGCTCACTTATTGAACTAACTCTGAAAATTTATGTGTCCAGAATTATCGTATCTTCTCGGAATATAAGTAACCTCAAATGCTTTATTGATAAATAACTTGAAGTTGTACATGTAACCACGGGCAACCGGAAATAATTGACAAATGGACTTAGGCCACTTTCAAAATAAACGGCTTATATATATATATATATATATATATATATATATATATATATATAAGTAATATAAGTAAAAGTTTAATATAAGTTTGTTGCGTATCGATATATATTGTAAGATAGCTGTTGATGCTGACAGAGATGATACTCCGATAGAGATGATGTAATTATACCGTGAGATATAGAGTCAGATAAGATTATCTTATTACGTCGTCTATGATGATACACGATGCAGGAATATTGTCAGGATGTTTGTCAGGATGAAATATATAACAATGATGCACAGAGCACACACAATTTAATTAAATTCACTCAAATAACCGATACAGATTAAAAGACGGTAACCACGTAATACTGATACGTAAAAATGCGTACTGCGTAATGATGATCGCGAAGGAGCAAAACGGAAGAGCGCAGAAGGAAGAAGAGAAGGCGAAGAGCTTCGGATTCCACAGGACCTCTTTATATCGATCCTGGCGGAATATCGATATTGACGTAATCGTGCGCGCGCATCCTATACATGACTCAGCAGCACGCAAGCCCACATACCGGGTGTACAATAAATATCAGATAACGGGTGTACATAAATATTTTACAATATATATATATATATATATATATATATATATACAGGGTGTCCCTGAGCATGTGCTCACTCATTTGTAAAAAGATAGAGCGCAGTAAATTAAATAAAGAAATCCTATTATATGTAACGATTTTTGTAATAACAATCGAAATATTAATTATTGAAATCGGACGAATGAGAGAAGCGCTCGAGCGCTCGAGCTATAGCACGGCCCACCGTGTCAGACATTGCCTGCCGGCACGCGGCGGGAGGAGGGACAGCGCGCCAAACAATGCCAGAAATGAGACGCGAGATGCGAGTCTTGATGCGATGCAATGAAACGTGAGAATGGCGATAGCGGTAACCACGGCGCGCTGTCCCTCCTCCCGCTGCGTGCTGGCAGGCAATGTCTCACACGGTGAGCCGTGCTATAGCTCGAGCGTTCGAGCGCTTCTCTCATTCGTCCGATTTCAATAATTAATATTTCGATTGTTATTACAAAAATCGTTACATATAACAGAATTTCTTTATTTAATTTATTGCGCTCTATCTTTTTACAAATGAGTGAGCACATGCTCAGGGACACCCTGTATATACAGAGTGGGGAAAAAGTATGGAAGCAACAATTATTTCCGAAACTATTCATTTTTCGACAAAATGTCTTAGACATAATTTTTATAGTATGAAAAGATGTATTATGTGGCATAGACGGCATGACCTTGAAATGACCCTTACGAGCTGCATACAAATAACGTAAAAAATTTCAAATGGAACTCGTCAGTTTTTGTTACAGATTCTTGTAGCTAATGTCGAAACGTTTACAAAATACTGCATATGAGCCCCATTCCCTTAAAAACACTCCCAATTACGAAACAATTGTGATAATTCATATCGACGAAATTGAAAATAGACAGCGTACGTGTGATTACATGAATGTGTGTAACGCGACTGAACGTCATTATGAGAGATCAGTACAACAGTAACGATTACTGCAACAAATGGAGAATAACCCGCTTCGATCATTTCTGCCGATACGAAAGACACGCGAAGTTCGTAGAATCAGTTAAGGCGTACATCGTGAAAATAACATTTGAAATTACAGAAATGAAAATCAGTAACAATTCCTATGATAGAAAACGACAAAAATAGCAAATTTTCAAAACACAATATCCGAAACTTGTATGCCAATTGACACTACTTTTTTAAGGATAAAATAAATGATAATAATAAATAAGGTAGCGATGATCAAGAAATCAAAAAGATTCTATGAATACTCATAGACAGTGTATCATATGACAACAGGTACAATTACATGTTATTAGTGGACGCAACTGAACGTCATGATGCGAAATCAGTAAGCAATGTCAATGTGCATACAAATTGTTTGTATCACAATTGTTTCGTAACTGGGAGTGTTTTTAAGGGAATGGGGCTCATATGCAGTGTTTTGTAAACGTTTCGACATCAGCTACAAGAATCTGTAACAAAAACTGACGAGTTCCATTTGAAATTTTTTACGTTATTTGTATGCAGCTCGTAAGGGACATTTCAAGGTCATGCCGTCTATGCCACATAATACATCTTTTCATACCATAAAAATTATGTCTAAGACATTTTGTCGAAAAATGAATAGTTTCGGAAATAATTGTTTGCTTCCATACTTTTTCCCCACCCTGTATATATATATATATATATATATATATATATATATATATATATATATATATATATATGTTTAAGTTTTCGAATTTTTAACTCCTTTTTTTTCTCTTTAAAGCTAGTAATGGCTAAATTTCACTTTAAATTTCATTTTATTTAAGATAGAAATCTAATACAATGACAGAATTGCAGCATCTTTTATTTTAATTAAATCTGAACTTCTAAAATTTTCTTTAATTCTTCATACGTGAAACAAAATTTTATTTTATAATAAATAATAATGCAATAATAATGAAATCTATAATAGTAAATATGTAATGATAAAAACTTAATTAAATCAATAATTTTGACGTATAATATATAATAATATACCGGATGGCAATTAATAAATGATTTAGTACAAGTGTGAATTATAATATGACCCGAGCACGCCAAGTTTTTGTAAGTTGTTTTGGTCTTAATTTTTTTAGTTCCAAATTTACTTGGAACTTATTTTGAAAATCATTTTTATTTTGTCGAGAATCTAATATATAAATGCAAGATTGAATTTGTGACAAATATTTCAAATTACAAATCTCTATCAATTGCTTCAATGTACTTGGCTAATTAATCATTGATTTCATATTTAGTTTTGATTTTTTTAAGGAAAATTATATATTTAGGAAAATTATTATATATATTTTTTGAGAAAAAATTTTTATAAATTATTTATTATAAGAGCATTTTTTTATTAAACGTTTTGTTGCATACAAGGTGGAATATTTTTTATGTACTTGGCGTATTTTTTTTACCATTGTAAGATTTTTTTTTGGAAGGTACACATTACATGACTTACAATTTTGCAATAAAAGACGCTAGTAGTGATTGAGTTGCGATTCTCAGTGAATTCCTGGTTTTTAGCATCGTTGGTGACAGGATGTTCGATGACCGAAAGTGTGTTTCCGCATCATGCAAACTGAGGATGGATTGTTAAAAACCAATGATGAATTGACTGATCTAAAGTGACCGATTAAACTAACTGATCTGAAGTGAGCGATTGAACTGACTAATCTGAAGTGACCAATGCTTTTTGCGAATTTCTCTTTTTATATACGATTTAGTTTACTTTTCCAGTACGTATCTTATTCTTCGATTAGATTTTAAATTAACAAAATTTGTTCAGGTGTCTATTTCTTACTAAAGTTTCGAATTTTTGTAAAATTTATCTAGCTATTGTTGATTAGATTTATCGATTTAGAACAGCTAAATTCGTCGATTTCTTATTTTCCTCGCTGTTAAGTTTCGAAATATTATTATTTCTATTTACAGAGGGAGATCTATGTTGTTCTGTTATCGATATATTTCTCTATTTCCCTGCCTATATTTTTTTTATTTTCAGATAATTATTTGTTAAAGGAATCAGTGTTGCATCATTGTTAGCATTTCTTGCGTGTTTTTTCGTAATTATTCATAGATATTAAATGACAAATATAGATTATTATGAGGCGCAAAAGGCTTTATTTGAATGATTTTGCTTATCACTAATCAAACGATCGTTGTCGCAACTTCGTGAAAGGAAGGAATCGTGGAGTCGCCTAGACGTAATTTACATATTTTTTCAATTCACATATTTTTATATATTTTATCAATATAAAATATCTATCTTTAATTTAACTAAAAAGATATAGCAATTATTAATTCAATATATCTGATATAATTTTATATTCCAATTTTTGTCTTACACAATTAATAACTATCAAACTATCTTAGGTGAAAAACGATTAATTATTATATTACTTGAAATTGTATAGCGTCATAGAGCATTTTGTGTACATTAGCATTCATGTATGATGATGTATTTAAAAAAGTATTATCTAATCATGTTGCATTATCAATTGTTATTTTAATATACAATTCATCATTAATTTAAGTGGAGCATTGTAAATGCGAAAGATGAATATATATTACAAATATAATTCCTGAATTCATGTACTCATTCTCCTTGTGTTGACAATGTTGATTACACATCGCCTTGTAGTGATGATAATAATTGATATTATCATACATCACACACATACTTTTATAAATTGACTGAGCTTGGATCGTAGCAGCCAATGTTACAAGTTAGTTGGCTGAGAGCTGAGATAACATGGAGCTATAAGTGCCAGAGTTCAATTGCTGTTGCATTCAAGTACGTCGAATTTATTACCATTATCACTTATTTAGATGTCGTTCGTCTCAAAATGAATTTTGTAATATAAAAGATTTGTAAATTTTTGCATAGCATATTTAGCGTAACAAATAATAATAATAACATATTTCAAAGAATTATTTTAATTTAGCTTTTTTATTTTTAAGCATTTTGTAATATAAACATGTCGACAATCCCACGGAATTTTGATAAGAAATTCGATAAACTTTAATTAAATCAAGTTTTTGTAAACATTTGATTCATTAAAAATGCACTAAATTTATTATACTGTTTAATATTTTATTTTTCTTTTGACGGAATATTGTTTTTCTTCGTTTTAGTTAACATTGTGTGAGACAATTGATCAGCATTTGAATTACAAGGTTATGGAATCTTTTGAAATAATATGCGGCATTGCCGTTGTATTTCTTGGTGCGTATTATTACTTTACATTGAACTTTGGTTTTTGGAAGTCACGTGGTATTCGCGGTCCACAACCGACACCAGGATTCGGTAATATTAAAGATATTATGCTTATGAAAAAATCCTTACCTGATTTTTTGATGGAAATATACAACGATTACAAAGATGAACCCATGGTTGGAATATTTGCTAACAGGACACCAACTCTTATCGTAAAAGATCCAGATTTAATTAAGGATATTCTTATCAAAGATTTTACTAATTTTGCCGATAGAGGATTTCTCTTTCACGAAAAGGTATTTTTGTACGTTCGAAAAAAATAATATAAATTACAAATATGTATATTTTAAACTACATTATAATATTCGAATTATATAAAAACGGAACGTATTTTCCAATAATTATAATACATTTTTCCGTTTCCTATATGATAACTTTTATTAACAATTACAAAATTTATTTTCAATAGTCTTGAGTAAGTTCTTGCATAATTTAATAAAATGTATTTTTGAATTGGAAAATTTGATTATAAAAAATTTGATTATAATTTTATATTTATTACAGTTAGATCCGCTGTCGCAACATCTTTTCGCTTTAGAACCTAAAAGATGGCGACCATTGAGAACAAGACTTTCGCCTGTTTTCACATCTGGCAAATTAAAGGAAATGTTCTCTTTAATAACACAGTGCGCTGATCGATTTGAACGATATATAGAAAAACTAGCGAGCAAAAACGAGCCCATAGAATGTCGCGAGCTAACAGCCAAGTATACAACCGATGTAATAGGTACTTGTGCCTTTGGCATCGAAATGAATGCTTTGTCGGACGAAGACAGCGAATTTCGCAACATGGGAAGACTGGTCTTTGCGCCAACTTGGACAAATATTGTACAAAGAAGAATGAGACAATTACTGCCTAAGCGATTTTGCGATATACTCAGTTATATTTTACCAATAAAAGAAGTAACCAAATTTTTTACACGTGTTGTCGTAGAGACTATGTACTACAGAGATACGAATAATATTGTTAGACACGATTTTATTGATACATTGCGCGATTTAAAAAAACATCCAGATAAAGTAAGCAATATCGGTAAGTAATAACTGGTCTTTTATCATGGATTCTTATATACAAAACATCAGTTTACGTGTAACGAATATTAATAAAGTTCATAAAATATTTAAACTGTTAAATAGACAGATAAATTATAATTTTTAATTGCCGAATAAGAAAAGAATATTTCTTTAATATATAACAAAAGAATATTACATTTTAGATTTAACTGAAAACCTAATAGCTGCTCAAGCATTCGTATTTTTCGCTGCCGGCTTTGAAACTTCATCAACAGCTATGAGTAATGCCCTTTATGAATTAGCATTAAATCAAGAAATACAAAAGAAGCTGCGTGAGGAAATTAATGAAGAATGTATAAGACATAATGGCAATTTTAAATATGAAAATGTAAAAAAGATGAATTACTTGGATAAGGTTTTTAAAGGTTCGTCAATCAAAGAAGAAATTTAGTAAAAGAATAATACACTGTGTCAATTTACAACACTATTATAATATAATATATTGCTAATTTCTAATACAAGTGAAAAATGCATTTTTATAACACATTTTATACTTCTTTTTCATTGTTCTTAATATAGAAACTTTACGAAAATATCCTCCATTAGTCCAACTTACAAGAAAAGCGACATCAAGTTATACTTTTCATAATATCAACGTTAATATACCAAAAGGTCAGGACATATGGATTCCAATTTACGCAATTCAACGAGATCCGGATATTTATCCGAAGCCAGATGTATTTGACCCAGAAAGATTTTCTGACAAAGTTGCGCAAATTAAACACTCGATGTTTTATTTGCCTTTCGGTGATGGACCAAGAAATTGCATAGGTAAAATGAAATAAAAAATAGATTTAAATATGTCTCTTGACAAGCTTAAGTTTATTCTTATAGTATTTACTTTTTATATTTTTAGATACTTTTAATTGAAACCTTTAATACTATACTTGTAATAATTTTTTTATTTTAAGGTGCTCGCTTTGCTGTTCATCAAACAAAAATTGGACTTATAAAAATATTGCGAAATTATAAAGTTGAAATTTGCGAAAAAACGCAAATTCCCTATATAAACGATCCTCGATCGTCTGTTATATTAACGCCATTAGGTGGAATATATTTGAAAATGATTAAAATCAATCGACTCTAATTTATGTTCGATTGTTTCTCAAAAAATATGCGTTAAGAAGTGAAAAATGTAAAAATATATAATACAATAACAAATATATAAAAATTAGAAAAATAATTGCCATCTATTCCAATTAAATTATTCCAATTGAACTATTTCAATTATATCAATGTCCATATATATTATTGGCATTTTTGCGTAATAATACTTGAGCAATATCAATTGATTAATAATTCAATTTAATTTATATTGTTATATACGTATGATAGAAAGATTTTATTATATTTTTTCTTCCACTAAATTTTAGAATGTGTGAAAATAGAAAATGAGCAATATAAATTGTTTACAAATTTATGATGATATACTTAATATTGTTAAATAATGTAATAAATAATAGTGTTAAATAATATAAATATTATTTTTTTATATCCGATATTATATCGATTTTGTCTGAAATGAAATTATAAGTGTCAAGTGTCGATCTTATAACACTGTTATTTATTATACAAACAAATTTATTATACAAACAAAAGTATAGAACAAATTACAAAGAAAAGTTTACGAACGTTTCAACTATTTGGTTTCCCTATTTTTGGACCATCTTCAACATATGATAATGTGACAATGACATATGGTAATGAACAAAAAGAATTAACAAAGTTTTACATAGAAGTCAGTTATAAGGTATGCCGTCTAAAGAAATAATGAATTCCTCGGTGTCTCATTATTTTGACGATGCGTGTAATAAAATCAGTCAAATATTTTTGTCAAAGAAAGTGAAATAAAAACAAAAATTGAAATAAATTAAATAAATAATATAAACTAATATGAACAAAGATAGGATAAAGTAAATTCAATAAAAATTAAATTTAAAAGATTAAGAGGTTAAAAAAAATTTTGTGTGTGTCACTTTTCCAAAAAAGTCGAACAAATTGGAATAATTTTAATAAATAAATAGAAAAAAATTTTTTTTGTGTCAATTTTTAAAAATCAACAGCAAATTAGAATAATATAAATAAATAAACTGAATGTAGACTTGTGTGGAATTAAAAGTAAAAAATTAAGAAATTGAACTACAAAATTAAGACTTACTTCCAGGCATCGAAAACAATGACAAGCCGTTAGGGACAAATAGAGACAGCCAAACATCTCCGAAGACAATGATCGACTAGTCTTTAACGGATAGCTGTAGCTTATTTATAAACGATAAAACAAGTCAAATAATATATAAATGTACACATATGCAAAGTCGCAGACCTATTTGTTATGTTAGAAGACTGTGTTAAATTTTTGACAAACTATTGACAATGTTTAGATAAATTTTTAGTAAACGTTCTGTATTCGTTTGCAAATATAGACCATTTTTTTTGTCTTTTGATAAATAGCATTTCGGAAATTAATCTTTTATTCAAAAAAGATTCCCGATCTAAAATCTGCACCTCATTCCAATTAAAAACATGATCAAAACCAACCCTGTGATTAGTGATGACAGATTAGGTATTAGTATTACGTCTAATATGACTGCGATGTTCGTTGATTTTTTGTGTGTAGTTGTCTGCTTGTTTGTCCAACATAAGATGCATCGCAAACGATGCAATTTAATTTGTATGTAACATTTATGGAATTAGAGGTAGGAAGATGGTTCTTGTGAAACTTGATAAAACTTCTCATTTTGTTAATATTGTAGTATGAAAGTCGAACATCCAAATCTTTAACGATATGTTTGAAACGCTCGGAAATTGAAGGAACATATGGTATAATGAAAAACATAATGGGTTCATTTGTATTTGTGACAAACGTATTGTTGACTAAGGAATTTGATTTAGAAAAGTGTTCTTTAAGGCGGTCCAACCATGTTTGAAAAATAAAATTTAAAGGATATCAAAGGATATCATTGTTCAAAAGAATGTTGATGTAGCCATTTTGATATTTTTATAATGATAAATATGGTGGGACAAACGGAAAACCTTGTCTATCAAACCAATTATTGTACCTTTTTTTTGGCAAAGAAGATGCTGAGACAAAAAGTGCAGGTATCTACCTGAAAAGATATCTTTATGATACCAATCAAAAATTATAAAGTTATTGTCTGATATTAAAGTCAAATCTAAAAAATTGATTTTATTGTCTTCAGCAATTTCCATTGTAAATTGTAGACGAGAATGGAAAGAATTAAAGGTGTCAAGAGTATGATTGAAAAAAGAAGGAGGAGTGGCTAAGGTAACATCATCCACATACCGTAAATAAAATGGAGGAGTAAATTTTAAGAAAAATAAGCGCTTTATTTTCTAAATCCTGTAACACTATGTCTACTACGATAGGAGTTAAGGGGGAGCTCATTGGGGTGCCAAAGGATTGTTTGTAAATGATATCGTTAAAAATAAAAAAGGATGAATCCAATATAAATTTTATTGCTAAGAGAAATTCACTAAATGGTATGTCACAATTTGGTGAGATATTACTCGATCTAGAAAAAACACTGTCAATAATCAAATCAGTCGACATGTTAGTAAAAAAAGAAATCACATCCAGCGAAACCAATCTAAAATTATTGTCGAAATATGTATTAGATAATTTTTTAACCACATCATAACTGTTAGAAACATGACCACGAGAAGCGGGAAAACTCTTAATCATAATTTTATGTAAATATGTGGCTAAATGATGTAATAGACTAATTATGAATGAGACTAATTATGTATGTGAATTCCATATAACATTAAATATTCTATGAATATACAGCTTACTTCCATAACATGAAATTAATATGTTGTATGTTGCATATTCATACATTTCATATACATGATTTGGATAAACACTACAATATGTATTATGTATATTCATTGATGTATTTTATATGTACATACAGTTTATGTATGTACAGTATATGTGAAACGTAGATACAGAGTTTTTATAAACTTTACTGTATGTAATATGTATATACATTGCTGTATATCATATATACATACGTTTTATAATCTCTAAATACATACATTTTATATACATAATTTGAATATACATTACAATATGTAATAAGTATATTCAAAGTTGTATTTTATATATGGGGCATTCCACGCCAAATCGGACACCATTTAGCTTTTGCATCGCCGATTTTTTTGAAAATTTTTTATGTTTTAGTATTGGTTGAAAGAGGCCTCCATGATTTTTTTCAATTTTTTTTGTCGAATCGTTTTCAAGATATCGATTTTTCAAAAATTACGTTACTTTTTTTTTAGACGTCCATAAGTTTGCGAAAAATGGGCCAAATGGGACGTTTTTTTTTTTGAAATTTTTCTTTTTAAACGCACTTTTGATAAAAAATATCGAAAAAATTTTTCAAACCGTATTTCTATAAGATTTTCAAGTTTTAAATATAAATTGTTGATTTACAAAAAACACGTACTGATCGATTTTCTTAAAAATTTTTTGTAAAAAACTGTCATTCATTCCACAACTTTTAAGCCTAAGTAGATAATGGGATAACGATGGGATCTATTTTTTTTCGATTTTTTTATTTCCATATTTTAATTATCCGTGTTGAAAATAAATATTAATCTTTTTTTCAGGCTCACCGGCAACGGTCATTGTTATTTATTAAATAAAATAGATATATCTTAATCATTTAATGAACGATGACCGATAATTTTTATTTGAATAAACCACAATATATACAAATTTCAACTCCTCAACAATTATATGACTGGGCAATAAAACCAAATTCTTTGCCAAATATTTATGCTCAATTCTTCTCTAACGAAGATTACATTCGAGCCAAAGAATCATTAGACAAACAATATATGAGAGCAAAGACAATAACAGGGACGCAAAAATATAATTGTGTAATTCCAGACGGAGAAGACACTTTGAGATTGAAAGAATTTTCGTTATCTGTCTCGAATTTATAAAATATTTAACCGTGTGAGAAAATAAATGCTACTGAATAAAAAAAAACTTTATCAAGCATAATAAGTACTTTATTTCGCCTGTATCTTTTTCCTGAAATCAATCTGTGAACTAATTAATAATCACTATGTGTCAGATAATTATTAATAGTAGCTCCTGTGTATAGTATTTTTTTTCCAGATATTTTTCAACAAGGATAACTTAAATATGGAAATAGAAAAATCGAAAAAAAATAGATCCCATCGTTATCCCATTATCTACTTAGGCTTAAAAGTTGTAGAATGAATGACAGTTTTTTACAAAAAATTTTTAAGAAAATCGATCAGTACGTGTTTTTCGTAAATCAACAATTTATATTTAAAACTTGAAAATCTTATAGAAATACGGTTTGAAAAATTTTTTCGATATTTTTTATCAAAAGTGCGTTTAAAAAGAAAAATTTCAAAAAAAAAAACGTCCCATTTGGCCCATTTTTCGCAAACTTATGGACGTCTAAAAAAAAAGTAACGTAATTTTTGAAAAATCGATATCATGAAAACCATTCGACAAAAAAAATTGAAAAAAATCATGGAGGCCTCTTTCAACCAATACTAAAACATAAAAAATTTTCAAAAAAATCGGCGATGCAAAAGCTAAATGGTGTCCGATTTGGCGTGGAATGCCCCATATACATATAGTAGTTTATGTATGTACAGTGTATGTGAAATGTAGATACAGAGTTTTTATATACTTTTCTGTTTGTAATATGCATATACATTGCTATATATTATGTATACATGCGTTTTATAATCTCTAAGTACATACATTTCATATATATAATTTGAATATATATTACAATATGTAATAAAAGTATATTCAAAGATGTATTTTATATATACATACAGTTTATGTACGAGGGTAGTTCGAAAAGTTCTCGGCCTGGCAAAGAAAACACATGATTTCCAGCAAAAATCTTTTTTATTTTTCAACATAGTCCCCTTTCAACTCAATACATTTAGACCAACGATGTTCTAATTTTTTTATACCCTCAGTATAATACGATTTGCTTAAGCCTCCAAAATAAGCATCCGTCTCAGCGATGACCTCCGCATTTGACGTGAATTTTTTTCCAGCAAGCCATTTTTTCATATTCGGAAACAAAAAGAAGTCACTGGGAGCTAAATCTGGCGAGTACGGTGCGTGTG